AAAAAAAAACAACAAAAAAACAAGAAAGTGCCCTCGATAAATGTTTAATATCAAGTTCACGCTTATAGCAATTGTTAGGAAAATAAAATTTATACATATTTAAACCTGTGTTTTATTCAAATCTTTCAAGACTTTAAATTCAAATGGGTGAAGCAAAAATAGGGCTGGTTGGCATGATTTTGCTGCACCATTATTTCAGTATAATAATTGAAGCGATTAGAAGCAAAACCGGCTAAGTGCAATATTTTGCAAAACGAACATAAGTGTTAATTCGTGTTTTCTATATTTGCTACATTTTGGTAGTAAAATCGCCCAGGTAAAAATCAGTCCCAATATAAAGGAATCTCGCCAGACGTTTGGAGCCGAAAACGCCTGAGTGGCACTTGGGTTGATTTGCTGCTGAATGTATTTTCGTTCGAATATTACAACATCTAATCACAGTGATTAATTATATTATAATTTTCATTTATTATGTCTCCTGGATCAGGTAAACAAAATAAATTGACAGGTATAAAAAATATTGGAATTTTCAGACAACGATAGGATACTTGTTCAGACTCAGAAACAAATCCATACGCTATGGACGAGGAACCTGATTTAATATGAAGTGAAGATGAGAAAAGATAGGAGTGATAATTCCATATCACATAACGAAGCTTCTAGTAGTAGTAGCTAGCTCGGTGAGTAAAGTTTAAGGATCAGAACGCAAGGTGACGTAAGGTGAATTTTCTATGTAAGTAGCCCATAGACAAATCCGAAAAAGAGCAATCAATATTAACGAATGGACAATAAATGTACTAAAGAAAAATAGGTCTTCTGGTTAAGAATATAAAAGCAAACAGAAAAATAAAAGAAAGAAAATCGTTCAGGAGTATGAACACACATGCCGATACTAATGTAGAATTTACAAGGGATGAGATACAACGCCTTTCTTCTAAGTTGTACAGTTTACCAACTTATGACTCATAAACAAAATTTTCAACTTTAGCCATAAAAAACCTAAAAGGCGGCTAGCATTAGATTTTGTATCCATTTCAAAATATTTAGACACACATATTAAGGATCCAAAAAAGGAGACAAAATCAATTCATATTTTTTTCATACAATAAAAACCAAAACATCAGCTTTCCTTAAAAAAACTTTGGATCAGGACCTTTCATTTTTTGTTTTGTTTATTTTTTTCATCTTGTTTAAAAATGTATTTTTTTTTATTTCTGGAATAGTAGTTAAGTTTTTGTACTTAGTATGAATCGTTCTATAACACAAACTAATTTAATTCATAAGCTCAAAGTTTTCCATTGTAAGAAAACTTTCAAGAGTAATTTCTCTGAATAAACCTTTTGTGACTTAGGCGGTTTTGCTCCTTCAATTATTTTCAGTTGATCGCAATAATGACATGAATGAAAAACATGGCATTAATTGGAAAGATCGGCTTAGAAGCTAAAATATTATCGTCGTGTGATCAATTAATTGGTTTATAAAATATTCAGATCAGATCTGGCATCATTTATATGAAAAACGAAGAAATCTTAAAAATGAATGCAGAACTTGCCCCAATTAATAAAATACACCATGATGCTCTTTCTTTTCCTACCAAATGATCTAAAACGTGCCTTTTAAGTAAGTATGTTTCGTGAGAATATATTTGCAAGATAAAATAGAAACTTAAAAGTATCTCAGGACTGTTTGCAATGACCTGGCAGAGTTAATCATAACTCAGCCAGAAAATAATGATAAAGAACTTACCGCTTCTCTTTTTTGAAACTTCTCTTCTTTCTCCTTCCGGCGCACTTCAATGAGATGTTCGTTGAAAAGGCTTTCGCGTTCACGCATCTTATCAACGCCCTTAAATCGCTCATCTTTTGCGTATTTTTGTGCAAAATCGCTAAAGGAAGATCTGAAATCGACAAAGACATCTAATTAATTTACAATACTTCGCTTTATTTATGATGAGAATTACGTACTTTCCATGCAAATGCGATTCACTCAATAGCTTCTTAAACGACTCTTTCTTCTCCCGCAATTTGTTCCGCTTCTCTCTCCTTTCTTCTTCGGCCCTTTCTTTGACATATCTTTCAAAAACTTGTTTCCGCTCTTTCGAAGTTAAAAGCAGATACCTAGATCAGCAGAAAGTTATGTTCACGTAAGTATATTAATTTTAACGTTTAATAATTTGATCTCACCTAGAATCGAACACAATTTTATGCAATTCTTTTTCCCAAGTACTGAAAGCAGACACCTGCTTCTCTGCTAACATTTCCTTGAACAGAGTTATCCTGGTGTCGAGAGGAATAACGGCTCTTTCTTTAGCAGCTCTCACTTCAGCTTCAATAGCAGCCTCTTTGCCAATGTCGATTTTCTTGGTGGGGGGAGTACCATTAGAAGCTAAAAAATCTTACAATTAAGCAATCAGGTGGAAATAGGATAAAAGATTCGTCTTACTTGTAAGATCAATGTCAATTTTCGTTTTTTTTGCAGGAATCTCATTGTCGCTGTCGCTATCATCAGACGATCTTTTTGCTTTAACGGGAGTCTTAGCTTCTAGAGCCTCTCCTTTGCTGGCAGATGACGCCAAAGCATCTGGGGGCGTAGATACCATCTTATCAACATCCGTTCGCTTGAGCAATTCCTCTGGTCTTTCCCATACAGAGGTGCGAGAAGAAGGGTTGTAGAAAAATACACGACCATCTCCAGTCCACACCACACACCTTAAAAGTACAAATACGATGAATTGGAATCGAGTTACAAGTGGATGAGAAACTTACCATGGTGTTCCTGGAACAGGTGTGCTAGATACAGGGCGCGATTTGTCCTGGGCTTTCTTTTCTTTTTCCTTCTCTTCTTCCTCCTTCTTCTTCCTAATCTCCTCTTGAAGTTTATCCAGTTTTTCTTTCGCTTCAGCTTCCTTATCCTTTGGGCTGTTAACCTTCATAGACTCACCATTTTCCTGCGAACTAGATGTCTTACCTGAATCTAGTGTCATTTGTAAATAACCGTCATCTTTTGGACGGGTGGAAATTCCTTGTGCCGCGGCCAGTTTGGCATCTATAAGAACCGAAAACATTATATTCTTTCGATAATTTTACCCAAAAGGTAAACGTACTTTCTAAATCTTTCAAGGCCTGGGGCTTTTCCCATACGGATTCGCCTTTCTTAGCATGATGATAATAATATCGTCCGTCAGGTGCTTTATGTTCCGTCCATTCTCTAGCTTTTGCAATTATAGCAGGATCAATTTTTGACAAAATTTCCGCCTCATTAATTGCGGGCAAGGCACTTGGAATACTTACTGCAACTGAAAATTTATTTTATAAAAACCAACATTCCACTCACGTGAAACGGTGAACGTCCCACTCCGGTGAAAAAGCGGGCACTTTTCGCCTTGTATTAGGACGTGCAAATGCCCATGACATTAATATTGTAACAAATTCATCAGGAAGTACAGATACTATGCTTGATTCAATAAGTTGACTCTCATAGCCTTGAATACAAATTTTATTGCTTGAGAAAAAAGCGAGAAAATCGATTTACACGCTTTAAATCAAAAAATACACTTCATGTGTTCACTCTCAAATGTTTCTATTTAATAATAAATATAAATAATAATTCGATTTCTGGGATCTTTGAAGTTGTACCCACGTGTGGTCGTTTACGTTGTGGCATTGTCAATAATTTTTCATTAATTTGTATTGGCTGTCCTATACATACACATACTTATGCTATGCACGTGCTATGCATCAATCATTCAAATATTCTCATTTGCTGCTTACACTTACCGGGAGGCATAAGCCCTGGAGGCATTCCCCATGGAGTGGCTCCTGGGGGCATCCAGCTTGGTGGACCTTGGCCCGGGGGTGGTAAGCCAAACGGAGGCATTCCAAATGGAGGAAACCCTCCTGGAGGTGGGCCATAAGGCATTCCTCCATGACCCATCATCGACGGAGGTGGTCCCATATTAACTTGGTTGTTAAGTTCTTTTTTCTGCTCTTCGCTCTCTGAATAAAAACAATGCTTATAGCACACAACCTACAAGGCCTAATTCAATTGTAATCACCTTTGCTTTCAGGTTTATTAGTTATGCTGGCTTGTGCAAGAGCTGCCTGTGCAGCAGTTGACGTATTTTGAGGTTGCGTATTAGTGCTAGCTGCTTGCGCCATTGCCTCAACTTGATCCTATTAAGATTAAAATTACAATACATTTAACGCCACGAATCTTCCCAATATTTTTAAATTTTAAATAAATTATAAAAATGATTTACCTGGGTAATGACTTTAATATTGGGACCTTCGGGTTTGGTCCAAGTCGTTTCCCTCGATCTGGCATTATAATAATAAGATTTCCCTTCGCCAGTTTTAGTTTCTACCCAAATTTCATTTGTTGCATCCAAAGATGGACTCTGCAATAGTTAAATAAAATAAAATATATGCTAATTAAAGAACACATCAGTACGGAATTTGTAAGTTTGATGTTAAGGGTGTCCAAAATAAAATAAGTTGCGTTGATAAATATTAGTTTTTTTCAACTTACCTGTTCGTTTGATCTGGAAGAGCCATCGGGGTATCCTGCAGCACCAGGAACTCCCGGTAATCCACTCATCATTGGAGGTGCCCCAAAAGGAGGCGGTCCACCCATAAGATTTGGGGGTGGGCCCCGGTTCATGCCGGGTGGACCCCAATTGGGACCGTTGTCGCCAAAATTTGGAGGCGGACCATTAAATCCTAATTAAAATTCAGCATATTATTATAATTGAAATAATAAAATGATCTAGAGAACATAAATAGTAATGTATGGATCATCCGAACTGGAAGTTGGCAGAACATTTAGGTTTAGTTAGTTTGTTACCGGTAAAAAACTGTATTTATTTATGTATACACAATCAAATACATACGTTCAAAATAAAAACAAAGTAAGTATAAGAAAGGTGAACTCTTTACATGCATTGTCATTTGTCATTATATCGATTTGCTGCATTTTCTTGCCTCCCAATTGTTGGTTTGGACAAAATTGTTAGTTCTGTAAACAAATTCTTCCGCTCAAAGTAGATATGAATTAATAACCGCTTCATTACAGTGCGTTTTCTGAATAGGTTCGTCTTCGTCAATGTTCTGATTTCTACAGGTTTTACTGGGGACACTATCCCATTAGATCAGGTCCTTCTTCTCGTAAATCTCAGAGACATAAATGTGCATCCCAGCCATTTGCTTCAAGATTATGCTAAGACAAAAACTGGTTCTCTCAGCGATATATTCTTCAAACATTGCGCAATAGGTATATTCATTTTCTGGTAAATGTACCTTTTCCAGCTATCTTTTTCCATATAAGACTTTCACATTTTCCAATGTGTGATCTCGGACCTTTACCTCTTCGATGTTCTAATAGTGAAATAATTCGCCGTTCGAGCAAGAAACGATCATTTTGAGAAATATAGCAAAGATTAATTCCGAGATCACTTTAGGTTAACCAAAAACGTTGTTTATTACCTAGGAGAGCTACTTCAGGGACAAATTCAGCCAGTGACACCAAGAAACCATCGTTTATTTGTCACTCTAACCAGTCTTTACAGATTATTCTCCTTTGTTATATGGCTTTGCCTACTTTATAGCTTTGTACGTTTAGACGCGTTGAGAAACCCACGGCAAGTTATAGAACCTACAACTTTAGCGCACCGATAGTTATCGAACCAATAAGTGCTGCGTTTTTTAACGGTGCAGTGACGCGACGTCGACGTTACGGTGCCGCCGACAATTTTTTTCGGAGCAGTTCACACGAGTTATGTGGCCAGTTCCCACGAATTCCGGTACATCAGCAGCACTTATGTGACTAGTTCCCATAGATTCCGCTGGATCAGCAGAATAGGCATACCGCCAATGTTAAGGTCATAAAGGGGCATCATGTCTTCCAGTTGGAGATATACATTATGTTAAGTCAGTCAGAGTAAAGACATACTGAAGTAAACTTGTAATTAGTTAAGTAATAAAGATAATTTTTAAAAAACGATTTGTCCATAGTCAAACAGTTAACTCACGAGCGTATTTGACGCTGCGGTGACGCATATTTTTACGACAGATTTATTTCGACACAACGCAATTTTAGTGCAGGCATGGAGGTCGATTATGAACAACGGGTTTTGTTTGCGTATTACGTATACAAATTTTACATTTGTAAAAGACRATAAATTATTGGGTTCATCCTTACGTGAGTGCTCGTGCATTAAAAGGAGCATTTGCTAGCGATTTCGGGGATCTCAGGAACAACRAAGAAAAGTTTTTTAATTMCTTCCGTATGAGTCCCAAATCGTTTGATGAATTACACGTGAAGCTGAAAACGTGAAACTCTTCAATTAACAATCCGATATCGTAGTCAACCTCCGGCATTTTTAACGTCGTCGTTGCGCCCGTGTGATCCGGCACATATAAGCTAATGTTTTGCTTCGACGTCCGACGGCGAAACACCGCCAGCGTTCTAGCAGCCACCGGCGGTGGGGATTTCAACGCGGCGTTACCGTCCAACGGTGAAACAACGGTGGGCGACGTCGACGTTCGTGTGAACTGCTCCATTGTAGCCAATAGCGCCCCATACACGAGCGAAATATCTCTCATATCTGATACGTGGCGAGCCAAGTTCGAAGAAATATCGGTGCGTTAATAGTTAACCACGAGCCAGATACGACTCGATGCGAATTTCGTACAAAATAAATCTGCAGATCTGGACTTGCGGACCGAATTTCACCGTTTGTGGGTACGGGCGAATACTAGTATCAGATATTAGTGCCGCCTAAGCAGTCATGCTATGCTATGCCATACTTCCGCGGCTTAAAGAAAATACATATTCAGATAAAATTTAACGGTTGACATTATGTATAATGTATAATGTTATAATTCAAGCAATGGGCAAGAGGTGATGATGGAAAATTTGGCTATAGAAATCTTGGAAGA